GATAAGATCATTGTTCTCAACAGTAATGGTAGGTTTCTCAATGGCACTGCACTGCAATAGTTTCAAACGTTACTTCCCACTAACGAATTACACTGGTTCGGTTTCCGTACGATGTTGTAGGGGGCTGAGTGACATCACAACCCTGAAAAAACAAGGCGTTATATCTCATAAATGAGAGCAGCACAGACACTACTTTCAACGACACAAACATAGCACTGATGAATGAGTGGGTTTCATCGTTCTCGTTGTTTATAGGGGGGCCAACTTCATGGAGCTGTTTCCTTTAGGCTTTTGACAAGCTTGTCATTGGACTTAGCAGAGCAAAGACCTCTAATGCAAGCCAAGATGCATCCGGCTGCCATAATCAGGGCTAGAATAACCTTAGCCTTAGTGAGGGCATACAGGATAGCTTGATGACAGGAGGTTAAACCAACTTTGCTTCATCAACATTGAGAACTGACTCAATATTATGCAGTTCAGTGTTCTACCTTGTAGCAGTGTGAGGCTGCAGCCAATTCTTGACTTTAAAGAGAACTTATGCAGCTGACTTGCAAAAGGAAATGGAATGCGTTGAGGTTATCTGCACATTTAAGGTAATCACAAATGGTGAGCTTTAGTGTGAACAAAGTTCTTTTCATGCTGGGAATGTTATGCCCAGGAGAGCCAGAGCTTGCAGCCCTTGCTTTCCTTGGAAACTGGGAACATTCCTAGTAAGTTCCACATTCCACCCATGGCTATTCAGATTCGCTCTTTATGGTTGTCCCAGCTTCCTTCATGCAGTTAAGGTGCTTCATTCATCAGACCATAATACTTCAACCATGCTCAGCTACTGATCTTGTACTCTGTCATTGAACTACTGTACCTTCAGCCCAAGTGTGATGTCGCTGGGAGATTGAAAGGTATACTCAAAAGAAAAATTAAATAACTCACACCCCAAAAGCATTCTTTTAACCCTCTTTTCCTTCTTCATGTCCAAGTCAGAAACCACAACCCATAAACCAATATATATTTCCATTTTTGTCAGTAGACGTTTAAGAGCATTCAAGTATTTATCCCAAATCACAATTCATTAATCTTTTTCTTGTTCCATTTCAGTTAATTAAATTCAAATCCAATATCAACTAAACTATCCACACAACACTTGCTAATCCTTGTTTCCACACCACTGTTCTTCCAGGTGCTTTATATGTTGTTCTACCTGATTGAGCTCACCTGTTTCCTGTTAATTGGATTGGGTTCTTCTTTCAATAGGTAAGCTGACTTCTCAAATGATTTTTATATTGCACCTTTCAGAAGAAGATTGCCCCAAGGCACTTAAAACTGTGTGATAATACATGACTTTAGAATACAGAAAGAGAAAAAGCAAGAAGACAATGGAGGAAAGGAATCAAAAACTCCTCTGGAAGAAGATAAAACCTCTAGGGGTCCAAGGTCAACTGGCTGTCCAACCCCT